AGATTTCAAGATACTAAAGGATGTAGAACATGTTCTTTTCATCCTCATCTCCAGCTACGTGCTCAAGTAACGTTGTTAATATTTCATATCATCACCATCTTCTTCTTTCTCTTCCGATTAGGGTTTTCGATGCCATTTTGAGCTTTCCTATAACATACATGCTCTCCACTGCGACCAATGTTGTATCTCCTTCTATTGCAACAACGTATTGCTTCACTATATAATTCACCATGGCTGATTCCGGTTGATGATAACACAAAGACAGAGCAAAAATCATATCAGAAACATGACTCTCAATTAAACCGGAAAATCCTAACAAATCAATACTTATATATATATATATATATAAAGTTTGGGTTTAGTACTTGTTTTAAATTTTAATTAAAAAAAATATTGCTTACAAAACAAATATGTACAAACACTAAATCAAGCACACACACAAACAATCTAATCGTGTACTTACAATTGTTTTTTTTTATAAGTTTGTAGATGGAGTGATGAAGAATATCGTGATCATAGGAAACATGAATCATATTGAACTAATTCACTTCTCCAAAAGCAGCTTGATCACACTCCACAGTATAAGAAAAAAAAAAGAAACTTACAAAATAAACTCACGTTATGTAGAACTCATATTCCAAAATAATTCAAAACAAAGCTAAAAAGTGATCTAAATTAAATTACATACATGCGGCTTGAGCAGTGTTAATAATACGAATCAACTCTTAGTTCTGGCAACATCTCTTACTAATAAAAGGTGTTCATTGAGGCCTCTCAATATATCCACATCAGCACAATCAAAAGCATTTTAGAGGAAGCCACGTAAGCGGAGATTTTGCAAGATGCCACATCACTCTTAAAAACCACTTACAATTATCCACGTCTCATTGACACATAGTATATAATAGGTCACTCAAGAGACTCCCCTCGCCCAAACTTCAGCTTTTGGAATTCCCCCTAAGCCACCCAATCAAAATTCATCGCACTTATTACTTCTCAAATGTTGATGAATTTGGCGTGGTCATCAACATCATTGGATCACTCTAGAGAAGTTCACTCTACGAAAGTATAATTAATGGTAGATACAAATTCGTGGAAGAGACCAGCATCATCCTCCGAAATCATGAATCCGCCAACATTTACCTTGCTCAGTTCCTCGATTGCTCGCACGCAGCACCCTGGAAGCGAATTGCCGAAGCCGACTACCCAAGATAACCCTTAGATTAGAAAAACTGAAGCGTAAAAACCTCAGTTCACGCTTTAGAGGTATTTTTGCTCTACTAACATAAAGATCCATCCCTCTATGTATATTTTGTTTCTATACGTGTGATTAGATGATGTGTGTATGTGTAGGACAAAACTTCAACGCACTGTGATGAACAAAAATAAAATACTTTCACTTGGATTTGATAGTATTATATTTGGCTTTCATCGTAAGTTTTGGAATCAATTTCAATGAAAATTAAAATGTGTAATGAAATAATGTTCCTTTAAAAAACATTTAGCATGTGATTTTCCTCAAAAAGTTTCAATGGTTTTTTTTATAAATAATAAGAATGACCCATTTACATACACTTTCATATTACTGAGATTTAACTTTTTTCTTACATGCTTGCAGTTTATTTCAATATGACCATATATCAAGTTTGTCAAGGCTTTAAAATTCATAAGGTCAAAATTTTGTCTTCCCTACTCCACTCTTGTCGTTATGTCGAAGCGAATGTGTTGGATACGTTCAGTTCAAGCTTTGAGATAATTAGGTCAAATTTGTTCAAACAAACTAAAATAATTAGGTTGAAAGTAATTGAAAATTTGGCTGCTAAAATTCCGAAAGTGATTTTAAATTTAAGCCGCTGATAAAATGGGAAAGAAAAGTTTTAGCTTTTACATATAAAGTGAAAAATAAACTAATCAAAACATTTAAAGGGAATTTGAATATTGACTTCTTAATACGATCAAAGTCAATGATGTAGTATCACACAAGAACCATTGTTCTTTACTTGCTAATCCATTGCTTGGTTATTTAAAAATAATGATATTTTTGTTATTTTTCTTCAAGATTTCATAACATTAGAAACCAAGTTATCAAATTACACATATTCAAATCCTTAACAACATAACTAAAGAAGATAAATTTGAAAAGCTTTTGGAATTTCTCCAAAATTAAAACTACTATTAGAAAAGGTACATTTCATACTATTATGAAGAGATCATTTTCCTTTAAGATTATTAGAGACTATATAGATGAGAAAAAAAACTATATAAGTAATAATAAGAAACAAAAAATAAATTTCAATTTGTAAATATAAATTATAATGAATAGATTAATAGTATCATATAGGTTATATTTATTAAAATACTAAATACAATATCATATGACTTTTTAATATATAACTAAAATTGAATTTAAACTTAAGTTAATTAATCTAAAAATGTCAATTATTAACGCCCGGATTTTCCTCTAGTGATCACTAAATTTAATAAAACTGAAACAATTTAAAAGCAAAAAGAAAGTTATATGAACAATTTTAAAAAATATCTAATTAAATACTACTATAGAGAGCAAATCTTTAATTAATCATATAAGTGTCTATATGTATATAATAAACACATAATTTAAAAATAGTATGTGGGATGAAAATCACATGTCAATATATTTAAGAATAAAAGAACTTTGTGTCTTTTTTTATTTTCATCCTTTTCTGAAACTACCCTTATAGATTTTAATTTTTTAATTTTAATTCAAAACAAAAATATATTTCAAATTATAAAATACATGGTGGAAAAATTATAATCATAATATAATTATTTAAATATTAGTACCTTGAAGGATTATATCCTTGATTCATAAGACATTATCTTCAATATTTACGAATTTTAACTTTCTTAATTAAACAATTTCGAGATAAAAATATTCACATCATTATTTAAAAATTTTAAAGTCTTTATCAAATTTGTACAATTTTATCCTTATATTCTCGCAAAATAAAATCGAAGTCAAAATTTATAAAGATTTTGTTAAAGATTTTTTTGTAAACTTTGATCTTTTGTGTAAGAATCATAGATTTCGTATCCAATAGATTTAATCTAAAAAATTTCATAAATTATATAACAGATTAAAGTTTAATGAAATATCACTTATGAGATGAAATAATGACACATAGCATATTGTTAAAAGATTTTTTAAATCCAATTGATGTGTTCGTCAAATAACTCCGGCCCCAATAATTTCACTTCTTAGATATCCACAAACGTTTTAAATATTATATAAGCTAAATGACATATAACACAACATGTTTTATAATTCATAAATAAAAACATTCACATTTGTCATATGTACCTACGTCTCTAGTTATAAAATCATTAATACAAATGATAAGATTGGTACAAAATTAAACGAAACAAATAAAACCACTAAAGCAAGTACCACCACCTCCACCTACAACATACCGTACCTTCAACCACCTCCACCACCACTGTATCCTCCACCACCTTGAGAACAATCTCTCGCCATATAACTTGGTTCACTACACCTAAAGCAAGTACCATCACCACCATATCCTCCTTAATAATTTCCACCATCACGTCCTCACCTCCACAGCCAAAACCACCACATCCACCAGATGAACCGCCATTATTTCACTGAACAGGAGCACCCTCGGGTCCAGAAACTTCAACAGTCTTCAGACGACTGGCGTTGTCAACCTCAACCTTGAACTCAACAGCTTCATCAACGGCAAGGCTACGAAATTTTTCAGAGCTAATGGACTGGTGAACGAAGAGATCGTCACCACTCACCACCGTCGTCTGGTGTGATGAAACCAAACCCCTTGTGTGTATTAAACAACTTCACCGATCCCTTGCGTCTCTATCCACCACTCATATTTTCATCACCGTCGCTCATTCGGATCAAAGTCTCCGACAACCAAAAATCACTGATCAGCTATTTTTCATATCTCTCATAATAAAACATATAAATTAAAGTCAAAATAGGATAGCTATTTTTCCTATCTCTCATAATAAAACATATAAATTAAAGTCAAAATAGGTTAATGGCAATTAAATAAACAAAAGAATATAAAATTACATATTCATAGCATATTCAATCCTTTAGTCGCCTAAAACTGAAATTAAAAAATATATATTTGAATCTAAAATTAAAAAAATAACACAACAAACAATCTATCAAATATAAAAGAGGTTAGATGAAAGCCTAACTCCTATAAAGATGGGATTGAACTTTTTGATCCATGACGAAAACATGTACCATAAAATACACAAATTAACTCACACGTCAGTTGTAATCTTCTCTCCATCGATTCAAGTATTAATTTCCACACATCCAAATTATGATTGAACGTAAAAATCATATGTGGAAATTGCGGCATCTTTCAATTCACTAATCAAAACTGAAACAATCAAACCCTAAACTTTTCTCTCACGATTACAAGGATTCAAAGTGATAGAATTGCTTAGAAGCCCAGTATCTATTTAACAATTTCATCACGATAGACATACTTATGCAATCTCGACCGATATCGTTTTAGAGAACTCTGTTTTTCCCGAGCTTCAAAATAGACTCAATATGTTTTAGAAAGCAAATTAATGTTAGAGTTTCTAAAAAACAAAAGAAAGCATATAAATAATTCATAACAAAATACAAATAAAAATAGTAGATTAGAGATTACCTTCTCGTAGTCATCTAATAATAATAAAAAACTCATAAAATTAAGAAATATTAATATACAAAAATACATGTTTATATCAGATCGATTTAAACGTAGAGATGAGTTCTTCGAGAACCTTGACCAACATAGTTCCAATAATTTATCAAATCTTTCATATAATAACACGACATAATTATTTCTACGAATAACAAATATTCTATATAAAAAAAAGGTCTCAATCACACAAATAATCAAAGAAAATAATCAACAACCAATATACAAAATAAAAAGAAAAAACAAAAAAAAATCTAAAACATAGTCGATTATAATATACCTTATCAATCTCATTGACCTCCAAAAACTTGTAAATCACTTCCGCATCAGCGCAATGCTCCGCCTTCAAAAACACAAAAACTATGAGTAACGTTGAAAAAAAAAAATATTTCGTTATGTAGTGCATGGTAAAAAATTATTTTACATCAGATCTGATGAGAGACAACTATCAATAATTAAACCAACACAAATTATAAAATTGTAAGTAATTTAAAAAGAGACATAAGAGAAGCGCTAACTAAAATTAAAGAGGACTCACGATTGATGTAAAAAGTTTGTTAATGAATTTAATGAAGAGGCATGTCTTCATCAACTCGTTCATTCAATCTCTTGATAGAAACTCCCATGAGCGGTTACCTAAAACATAATTCACACGATACAAATCAGCAAAACAATAACAATCTTAATAATTCATAGACCAAGATAATAACAATACAAATATAACCTCAAGAAAAAGTAAAAAATAATAACGCAAAATAAAAAAATCGATCCATAAAAGAACCAAAGCAACAAAAAAAAAAGCTATAATATCAAAACGATATGTTTAGGCTAACGAATCTGAGTTCTAATGGTGTGGCTGCGGCTCTATATTTATAGCTTAAAATCTAGGGCACACTGTCATAATTATCTCTAAAAATTTATTTTTTAAAATTGGAAAATTTCTTGATACAAATATTCGTAAGATATTTTAATATCTATCTTAACTTTTTATAAAAATTAAAAAACGAAATATTCCATATTTTAATATTAAAAAACGAAATATTCTATATTTTAATATTAAAAAACGAAATATTCTATATTTTAATAAAATTCACACGATTTTATTGTTTTACCCTCACCAAAAAATAGAAAACTGGATTTGATAGTGTATTCATTAAGGGTGATTAAGACTAAGACTAATCATCTCAAAACACGATTAGACTTATATACCCCTAACAATTAAGAACAAAAAATTTCGAAATCGAGGGTGTTTAGGACATTAGTATAGAGATCAACACACGATTAGACTTATATACCCCTAATTACGAAAAAGGAGAAATTTCGAGAAGAACAATTCATTAAGGGTGTTTAGGACAAATCATTCCAACTTTTAACCACAGGCCTCCAATGCCCTAACTTTGAATATGGTGCGTTTCTACTTCTCAAATAATTATTGTAGAGATAAAAGTTCTATTTTCTAAAACTCTCTCTCAAATACTTAAACACTTTCTCCATTACCTCTAAAAGAATTTTACTCTAACAATATGCTCGTAATCAATTGTAAAGCTTAGTGAAGCTCGTACATTACAAACTTAACCAAACTTAAATCAAAATTAAGACTGAAAGAAGCAGACTATAAACCGCATTACACTCAATACCTTAGTAACCAGCTGAATGAATCCTTAGTCTTAGCAATTTTGTTTTTGTATGAACTCTCAATTTCTTCATGTAGACTATTGCATTAACATATTATCACTCTTCCAACAACTACATCACAACCGTTTTACATAGTTTTCAATATGATCAAGCACCAATCCAAAACCGTGGGTAAAAGTAGAGCAATGAGAGATTTACCTTGCAGGATTTTAGTAACCGTTTTAGGAAAGAGGATCTGGAGAAGTTGATTGATTTCCCAAGTAAACTACTATCTGAAACTGCAGGTGTTAAATAACTGTAATGATTTATGCTAGTAAAGTCTAACCCAAAATAATTCAACACTGATAGGATTAGAGAACGTACTATCATCATCCACATCCATATTGAGGCCTGCTGAGTTGATTTCTTCTATGATCTGAAAACAGTTTGAAAATGAATTATGTAGCATAACGAAAAATCCATACGTATCAGATTATCTATTATATTACCTGTGAAAGTGTTGGAACTTCCAATAATGGATCAAACTCATCGCAGTTATTCGGATCAATAGGAACACAGACACGACCTGAAAGCCAGAAGACCTATATTAAGAATTTGACCTCACAGACATATATCGAACTAAGTATGAACATGAGTCTAATCAACTGGTATGATATATTCAAGAAACAATGAAAGGGACCTGTGTTTGGATGGACACAGAAGGGTGCCTTAAGCAAATGGTTCATTTTTTTGGAGACCTGAAATAAAAGAAGGAACCATACAATTTAACCGTCACTAAACTTGTCAGGTCTCCATGATCTTGTATAGCCAGGAAAAATATTTACCATAATAGCACCGTGGGTTTAAGAAAAGGAATTGTAGCATAGAGTAGAACTAATCTCCAAATCAATTCGAGGATATATAAAGTTGAAGACAATTTCTTCTACGCATGTCCGCAGTGATAGAGCCTACAAAATTGGATACAGAATTGAAGATGAGCAAATCTAGGATTCAAGTTCATCAAGCTAATAGCTGAGTGAAAGAAGTCTCGGCTTTTCACAACACTAACATACATGTTTTCAGTTCGTGTAAAACATCACACACCTTGTTGTTCTTTGATTGAAGCGTTTTAAGCTGCTCCCACCTTAAAAGGCTGGTGGCTTCTTCTGATGGAGATGATCTCGCAGAATTCTCCCACTCCCCTCTCAGCTCTGATTGAATATTTGTCATGAAGATGTAAATCATTGTAAATGACCAAACTGAGATTAGCACGTCGCTTATATACATCATCACTCTTTCATACCTTCATCTGTTATCATGCCAAGTATCTTCTCATATTTTTCTTTGCTTGAGAATATACTTTGAGTTGCATGTAACTCATCCTCAAAGAAATTCTTTAAAAAGTCCACACATGATCTCCTGAAAGCCCTGAAGAAATTAGTAGCAAAGACAGTGTTTTTGAAATCGGAAAGGCAGAGGTGATGGAGAAACCCGTACGCGAGAAACGGTTGATGAGAATGACCCATCAGATCGACATTTTTGGCACTGTTCTCATTTCCCTGTGTCACATGTTTATAATTAAACTCAAGAGAATTTCGCAATGCCAGAAACCACCAAAATACACCATAATTAGCTCTTCAGAACACTACCTTTATAAACACGGAAGTATTCAGAGACTGCTGATCTTTGTTCATCACAACCAGGATGTTTCCCATCTATAGATTTACAAACACAGACAAATATACAATCCACCAAACTTGTTATAAGCTTTCATTTGAGAAAAAAAAAAAAAAAACAGGAGTAAATACAAGTACCGTTCTCAACCCAATGTTGTCTTCCTTCTTTGCTATGTCATAATCACCAACCTACCAACACATGAAATTCTACTGTTATAACAACTTGTAAAACTACCAAATCAATACCAAGACGTAACAAAACTGATATTTTGGTGAGTAAAGTAAAAGACCTAATTAATATGTGGGTACTTGATGGGCAAGGACGAAACGATGGAAATAAAAGAAAATGAGTAAGTTATTTACCAGTGCAGAGAACGATGATCCAACTCCCAAAATAAAAGCAAATCATTATTGCCTTGTATGAGATCAAACTCCATAAGTTCCACGTGCATCGTAGTTGAAATTTAGATATTGCAAAGATTTATAAAAATAATATCGATTCCAAAAACAACATATTAGAATTGATTAAATAGCGTACCTTTACCATCACATGTGAAGTCACAAACCGACACGGAGTTAGAGTCACCAGATGGATTACTAAAAGTATAAACACACCAAAACAAAAAGTTTTTGAGGAGAAATTAGTGTATCTAATTTCCTATAACCACTATTAAACTTTTTCATAGAAGTCCAACACCACTAAGCTGCCCATAAGTTCTTCAACCATACAAATAGTGGAAATAAAACATAATAAAAGTGGTGAAATTCTCTGGGGTACCTCGTCACAGATGGCAAGTCAAAGGCATGTTTCATTGTTGCTTCTGTCAATAGTCCATTACCTTCACCTGACAGCTTTACAGGTAAAAACTTCCTTAAAACAAAGCGAATTACGGTTTATTATACGTATAATTTTGGAAAATCAATTACAGCAAAAAGATCTATTGTTCTTGATGACCAACCAGGGATGCAGGATGTACCATAATGTATACATAGGAAATAGAGATTAATTCACAATAATCGATCAAACCAAAAAATAAAAATACAAACGCACTGAAATTAAAACAAACACTAATTAATAATACCTTATCATACTTTCTTTTTTACTTCAGCAACTCGTTTGTCTAAACTCGTTTTTATCGAAGCTTCACGATCGGTATACCTAAAACAGAAATCAAAAGATACAAAATCAGTAAAAAAAATAATAATAATTCGTAGAACAACCAACAAATTCATATAACAAAAAGCATAATCGCATGATAAGAAATTCGATAAGAAATATAAAAAACCATAATATCAAAACTATTTATTGAACATAAAAATCTGGTTCGTAACTGTGGGGCAGAAACTCTGTATTTATAGCCTCAAACTTAGGGCAAACCTCCCATATTATCTTAAGAAATTTAACTTTTTTAATTAGAAACTAAATCAGAAAACTAACAAAAACGAATATTAACTACTAAGATATAGAATTATCCAAAAAATTAACAAATAAATTTAAGCTAAGATTCCATAATTCTTAAAGTCGAGACATTATGACATTCGTATCCCCAACGATTACACTATATTAAAAAAAAAATTAAGGGTGATTAAGACTAATCATCACGAAACACGATTAGACTTATATACCCCTAACAATTAAGAACAAAAAATTTCGAAGTCGAGGGTGTTTAGGACATTATTATAGAGATCAACACACGATTAGACTTATATACCCCTAATTACGAAGAAGAAGAAATTTCGAGAAGAACAATTCATTAAGGGTGTTTAGGACAAATCATTCTAACTTTTAACCACAGGCCTCCAATGCCCTAACTTTCAATATGGTGCGTTTCTACTTCTCAAATAATTATTGTAGAGATTTGATGATTAGCGAATGGTTTAATGCCCCATAAACCCTAATGATGAATTAAAACCTTTTATGGGCCTGGGCGTGGACTGGGCTTCGTGTTAAATTCTTTCTTCATTTTTCAGAGTGTGATTGGTTGATTCGTTGTGTTTCAATTTCGATTGTGTAGCTATAGATGCATTATTATTTATACTAGGGAGGAGACCCGCGCAACGCGCGAGGTTATTTGCTTAGAAGCTTTTAGTTTCTGTATCAATGTATGTTTTACTTTTGTTGAAATCCTAATGTTTTAAGTTTTACGAACTTATGATCAATTATAAATAAAGATAAAGCATTTGTTTCTCAGTTTTGTTATTATAAAGTTGTATTCCTACTTATAGTTTATAATTGTTATTGAAAAATATTTTATTTCTTTTGTCTAGAAAATAAAATAAAATGACATTAATTAAATGACATAAATACAAGTTATTTCGTTTGGCACATTTCTGGGTTTGTTAGTTTCATGTTACATTGAATTATCTGCCAAAATTTGGGTATAAGAAAGTAATAATCTTTGAAACAACTCAGCTCCGTCTTCATTTGCATCTTTTGGGTGTTCAATACCAAACAACTTTTAAACTCCTTGCATAAATGGGACCATCACCAGCACCACAATAGGGCAGCTTCAGACTCCAGAGTTTCGATGGGACTCTGCAGCTTTCAATCGCTACTTTCTATTTTGATCGAAGTTAATATATTCATACATGTTTTTTTTTTTTTTTTGAACTTAGTTTCATAGTCTTGTAGTAGTTTTCATAGTCTATGTAATAAATGGAATCAATTTCTTTCTTAGCACCCTTTGGGTGTTCAATAGCAACAGCTTTTAAACTCCTTGCATCAAGAAGAAATTCGCTAGTGAAATATTTTAATACCTCACAACGCCAGTGACAGTCTCAGAAATGCATTTTGGGCATCGTAAGGTTGTTCCATATTTGTCTAATTTGCGGCTGCACATAGCACATGAAACATATGACCAACCACTTTTTTGTAGGACATCAGGAACTTTGGCGGTGCAAATGAAATCAACTTCCTGTGTCTGTTCAATGATTTTATAATGAATTTCAGAGTCACATTACATATTTAAATATGTGTAGTTCATAGTAAAAATAACCTGTTCATTAGAATTTGATATGAACTTGTAAAGTTCAGCAATGCAAAGCATTTCTTTTTTTTTTATTCCTTCGGATGTGTCTGCTTTTGCAAATGCTTGGTAGCTTCTATTCCCATCCTCCATAAGAAACAACTCGGTTAGATTTTGATAACCTCAATGGTACTTTGAAATTATTAGTTGTAATAAGCATGACCTTTTTGTAAATTGGTTGATTGCCTCAATGGAAAGGTCGAAATAAAACTGGGTTGCTGGAGTGGAGTTCAAATACAAATTACCTAACAAAGATTTAGTTAAACCCGGAAAAAAAAATCAGCTTTGTTTATGATTTTCCACTAATATATATAACGTAGGACTTCATTCTTCCTCCAAACAGCTTTGGATTTATTGTAGTTACCAACATGACAGAATTTATCGTGTCTCCAGAAGTGAGATAAGCTTGAAAGGTTGCAGCTGCGTCATCCCATAATGATAGGTACACAATGGTAGACCTGTTAGTGGAAAAATGTAAAATATTAGTCATGTAATAATTGTTTCCAGCTTTTTAATATGTTAAGAGGTTTAGAATGCATACGAATCCAACATGAATCGGACAACCAGGCATTGTGTGGATGTTGGGTCAACCAGGTTTGATCTTTGGACAAATCTTATTTGACCCACCACATTTATCAAATAAAAATATATTGTAATATAATGAGGTTCCATAATTATTACTCATGAGTATTTGTTCATATTATACCTGGTAGTTCAAGATTAATGTTTGCAAGAGCTTGGAGATGATCTCCTTTGCGAAGCATAAATTTTTCTCTTTCTATTGTAGCTCCAACGTGATTCACTTCAACAATTGTTGTTGAAGGTAGGAAACGGATGACAAATGGGTTGTCAGTAATTTTGTAGAGGTTTGTGCACCTTCCCACTTCAAACCCTCCAACACAAAAGATTCGCCCTTCTTGTAAAACATTGCGGAATTGGCTGGCACGAACAGCTGGGATAAAACAGTGGATTAGTGAACACTGCAAAAAAAATGTGTAAATGTTTATATATATATATATATATATATATATATTTATTAAAATTGAAAGGAGATTCTTAAACGCAACCTTCTCATCGAGAATATATAAATCATGCATTTGACTATCATTTCACTTTAAGATCACCACTCATAAGTAGAGATGAGACTATTCAAACGGCTAAAGAAACCAAACAACTAAAACTAAGTTTTTGCAAAATCAATCCCAGACATGTGATAGTTGTAAAATGGATTAAGTTATGGAACAACACTAACACTAAACAATTACATATAAGAAAAATAAAAGGCACGACAAATTAAGTAACCATTTTTTAGACCAAAATAACTACTAAAATTGAAATTTAGAAGGATATATTTATATGTTACCTTCTCGTCGAGCAAGAGGACGACTATGCCCATGAATTCACCGTTTTTTTAATATTATGGGCATCCCAAAATCGTAAGAGCCGGCCAACAACGTCTTGAGAAGATCGGCCAAGACGTAAATCATCAAAAGTTGAGTAATCAGTTTGAGCAGGAATTGCAACAACATCAACGTCAGCCATATTGAATTTGAAAGGTTTGAAGAGTTTGAAAGGTATGATTAGTTTTGGGAATTGTTAGGTTACAATGTCAATGAGTTTTATAGTGAGATGCTGAAGTGAAGAGAGAACGATAATAAATACCATCTATTAATTTATACATTTGGTGGTTATAAGAACATCTGTAACGTATACATTCGAAAAGTCAGTGAATGATACTCCTTTGATTTACTTTAAAATTCTCGTTTTCGATTTGGGGATACGAAGCAATGGAAGCGAGAGCAAAAAAATTGTCAATTGATGGATGAATGAAGTGATGCATTTAAGTACCTTATTCATGGGATTCCAGATGAGCAAATGTCTCCAGCCATGAATGAAGCAACGACGGTTCCGATGAACTGCAGAGGAGATGACGTTTCCGATGAATTGCAGAGGAGACAACAGAACATCTAGACGTTATAGGTCTACATGTTATGTGATAGGCCTAAATGTCAAGTCCAAAAGTTCATATTAGAGCTAAAGATTGTGGGTTTGGGCCAGACTTGGCCTTCCAACAAAATACAACATTGAAAAACGTTTCTCTTCAAGAAGTTTTTTTTTTTCTTTTATTGGTCAAAGAAGCTTCATATGTCAAATATAACATATTCGATAAATTAGTGATCGTGTGTTGTTGAAAGATTGGACCTCTTTTTAAACGTGTTTTTTAAATAAATCCAATTGAAGAAGAAGATTTTTTTTTTTTTTTCACACTTTTAATTATTAAAACAATTATTATTTCAATATTCTTCATTTAATGTAGGCTCCACATAAAGTATGACATGGCTGCTGATGTGTATAGGCTAGATGGAGAGAGGATTGCCTCATTATATATACTAGGGGAGGTCCCCGCGCCCAGCGCGGGGTTATATGTTGATTAAGACCAGAATTAATAATTAATATTTAGGGTTATCAAGTTAGGGATATTTATTGAATTAATTTTGTCAAGAGTCTAATTTTTATAACGACATTAATATAGAATTATGGTAAAACGCTATAACTTTTGATATATATTATTAGTAATCAACAATTAATAGTGTTTTTGAATCACAAACAATTATTAGTGTTTATATCTTGATATATATATAATAGAATTAAATATAAAAATCTATATATTTAAACCAACAATATATTAGCAACGCCCCGACCGCCACTGTCCATGGGTTCCCACGTCCAGTCTCGGTCTTTAGGCCCATCTTCTTTGTTTTGTCTTACTCTTGATTTTATGACATATTCATGCTTACTCGTTTCTTTCATATTAGCAACGCCCCGACCGCCACTGTCCGTGGACTCCCCACGTCCAGTTTCGGTCTTTAGGCCCATCTTCTTTGTTTTGTCGTACTCTTGATTTTATGACATATTCATGCTTACTCGTTTCTTTCATATTTGTAATGCCACGACCGCCATTGTCTGTGGGTTCCCACGTCCAGTTTCGTTCTTTGAGCACATCTTCTTGGTTTTGTAGTACTTTTGGTTTTATGACATATTCACGCTTCCTCGTTTCTTTCATATTTGTAACGCTCCGACCGCCACTGTCCGTGGGTTCCCCACGTCCAGTTTCGGACTTTAATTTGGGCCCATCTTCCTGGTTTTTGTTGTATTCTTGATTTTATGACATATTCATGCTTTTAGATTGTATTTCACTGGAGTTTTTCGTAGTTGGAAACAA